GATATCTTAGGTCGACTAATTCGATCGAGTAATACACATTGACAAAACACACCGAGAAATAAAACGAAGAAGGAGGAGGAGGAGGAGGACAGAGTGGAAGGACATATATTACATATACTATAATACTTTTACACAATCAGTACGAAAGAAACGATCATTTCGGCAACATCGTTTGTACACACTTTCCAAGCTTTTTTTCTCGATCGTGAGAATGCTCAACAACGTGGATATCGAAAATTATCTTATGGAACGGGACAATCGCGATGAACAAAGCATGAAGAAGAAAAAAACAGTCGACGATTCAACTGATGCAAATCAAGATAAAGGCAACAGGTAGGTATTTTTTTCCTTTGCGTCTCTTTTTTTCCTATCTACTAATTTCTTTTTTTCCTTAATTACAGACATCTAATCGCACATCGTTCTACCGCACGCATTCTCGAGAGAAGATATTCGTTGACTATAACTGGCTACAAATACTTGATCATTGGTATCGATGTCACACTCCCCTCTCACGTAACTATCACTTTGGGGGATTGTCACGGTAAAGAGATTCTGTTTTCACCGGACATCTGGAGCTTCTCGAACAAAAACACGTTATCTTGTCCCTTTTGCAGTACGACGAAAACAATAAAGGAATACGTGCGCCGTCTCCGATGTACGTTGGAAATCTAACGTTACGCTTCGGACGAATAAATAATCTACCAATACTGCGTCTAGAAACAAGTACAGCTCGTCTATCCATGTCGAAAAGTACTGTACTTAATATATTTAATCTTGAACACTGTGTAAATCGTCTCATTTCCTCTCTAACCGCAATGACCGATAACGTCGACAAAAAATTTTCTTGATTCAAAAGACTTCTTGCTGTCGCGTCCACTGTCACGAAATCTGCGAACGTGCTAAAAACGATGTATGATAACGAATCCTTCGATACTCGATTGCGAGTTGATCGCCTTGATTTTCGGAGAACATTAATTGTACACTAACGATAAAACCTATACTTTTACAATGTGCGAAAGTATTTTGTACTGTACTGAATATATAATATATTTAATCTCGAAACACTGTGTAATCACGTTGTCTCATTTTCCTCTCTAACCACACCGACTGATAGATATTTTCACGACTTCTTGCAGTCGCGTCCACCGTCACGAAATCTGCGAATATACTCGAAAAAAAACGAAACATGATTTCGACCGCGACGATGTACTCGATTGCGAGTTGATCGCATTGATTTTCGAAGAACGTTAAACGATAAACCTACACTTTTAAAATATACACAAGTATTTTATATATCCCTACCTATACACACATATATATATCTTTACATAAAGATGGGCATATGTATATCTTTACATAAAGGAAACTCGCGCTGACGCAAACTTAATGGGGGAAAAAATAGCAAAAGGAAAACGGAAATGGATGTAGAATCATATAATATATATATAATTACTCGCGCTAAACGAGCGTTAGTAACGAAGAAAAAAACGTGTCTTACGTTTCTAATGCCGTTATTTTGTCAAAATCGATAAAAAGTATGGCAAACCGTGCGAACATTGACAACTTAGCCAACGTAGTCGAATACATTAGAAACGTGGATCCGGAACAATTCGCAAATATTCTTGACGAAATATTCGAAGAAATAGATTTCGAAATAGATCGCGATTCCGACGTTGATTCCGGTTATGTTAGTGCTAGTGATTTTAGCGAACACGATCCTTAAGGATGCGGTGAGAAAATTGAAACGTTGGTGCGATACGAGTGTGGGAAACGAAACGTTGATGCGAGCGAGAGCGCGAACTCCCACAATCGAACGCGACGAGTGAGAAACGCGAGAGCGACAGCGCACGCTGGAAGAAATATATATAAACGGAAAAAATCTTATCGTATCTTCAAGGATGCGGTGAGAAACGTGAGGTAAGATTTTTTTATTATTAGGTGTTGGAATTAATTCGTAGCGTTTTTTAATGAAAGAATGTTATTTATTTCACATGAGCATTAAAAAATACATTAATGAAAGTACTTCCCATCACTTGTAAAACGCTACGAATTAATTCCAACACCTAATACTATTAAACTAACGACGATCGAACGCAACGGGTGCGCGCGAACTCCCTCGATCGAACGCAATTCCGATACGAGTGAGAAACGTGCGAGCGAGAACGACAGCGCACAGGCGGAAAGAAAAAACGCGCGAACTCCCTCAGTCGCTCGCCCGCTCTCGAGCTCGCTGGATCGTCGTCGCGTCACGCCGTGACGTCACGAGCTCACACACATGCGCCCGTGGGGACGGGGGCTGAGGAGGAAAACTACGAGAGGTGGTGAGAGGACAAAGCAGCTCGCTCATTGGCTGCACCCCCCGCACCACAATATCCCTCTCGCCCAGTTTTCCCCCCGATGGTCGAGTATATACATAGATAGTCTACTAATGTCCGTCTGGACTATAATTAATATCAGAATTTTTTCCCTTCTTTTTTTCTTTTCTTTGCGATTAATGTTTTAGGTATTAAAAATGATTCATTAATTTCAACATAATTGACCCTGATTCGCTGACACCAGTCAAAGACTGGTTTTTGATTAAATCGATAGAATTTAAGTGTTTGCGATATGTTGAATTTTTGTTTTAGTGAGCTACTACCGATTATTTTACAATAAATCATTTTTGCTTCCCCCCCCTCCCAAACAAATTTACCTTTTAATAATTTTAATACATTTTAGATTGTAATTAGAGTTCGTTTTTATATTATTGTTTCTGTTAATAGTTTCTGTTAAGTGGCTCACTGAAATGAATTAGTTTGTAAAAAAATGTTTTGTTCATTAGCAGTGAATTTGTGTTTTTCTAGCAGTGAATTTGTGTTTTTAAAGTAATGTGAATTTGCATTTTTAAGACAGTAAATGTGTGTTTATAAAGCAGTAAATTTATATTTTTAAAGCAGTGAATTTGTTTTTAAAACAGTGAATTTATATTTTTAAAACAGTGAATTTGTATTTAAAGTGGTGAATTTGTGTTTGTGAAATATAGAGAATTTGTGTAATTAATGTAGAACGTATACATAGTGCTATATCGAGTGGACTTGACAGATATCTTAAAGTCTCCTCTAAAGTCTAAAGCTGGTTCTACATTGGTCGTATCATAGAATTGTAAGCGTCGTGAGACTTTAAAATTGATCATCGGATTGACTGACGCAACAAATTTGTGACCTGCGATGTCTACGATACGACCAATGTAGAATCAGTTTTAAACTTTAAAGCTTAATAACTCAATTCACGGCCACCACGTTTTTTTTTGCCAGATTCTTTCGTTTTGAGTGAAAACGTGTCGAATATAATATAAATACATTTAATTTATATAATAAGTACATTTTTATTAAAATTATAATGGGGGACCCGTATTCTAAATAATTACCCGGAATTTTATACGTAGAAACATATATTTCATTCGTTTCAATAGCTGTTAAATCGTGTTTCTTACCCGAGTAGATGCTTACGTGCCTTTTACGACCATTTACTCAAGGAGGAAAAGGACAGTTTTCGCCCATTTTTACAAGTGTTTTAAAGTAATCTCATCATTTAGATTTATCCAAATTATCTTTCTTTACAAATGACATGCATCATAAATTAACGTGTCATTTCTCGCTTATGACATTACGCGGCCAACATGGCCGCGGCGACTACCTAAGGGCCTTAAGGGGATGCTGGAGTGTCCTGTTTTATCATTAAATTTTAAAAGCACCTTTCTCATAACTGTGTTTATGGACTGAAAAATCCTTCTCCACAATTAAAGTATCGACAACAACGCAAAGCGCCAGCTACATTTGAATACGAAAAACGAAAAAAAATTAAAGACTTACAGTTTTGTTATCGGCTTCTGTAGTCAACACATCACAATATGTGTTGCATATAAGAGTTTCAGATCTTGCACGTTCATGAAAAGTAGCTAGCGTATTGTAGAAAACCTAAACGAACAATCCCATGCTTTTAGAAACGCGGTAGGAGTTTTAGTTTAAGAGAAAGGTGCATCAATGATGTCAGAAAATCACTTACAGCTTCGAGATGAAGACGATACTTTTCTAAATCGTAGACTTTATCGCTCACGTTCGATGTCATTCGCTCCAACTGTAACACTTGAAGGCGTATTATATTTTCTTCCACTTGTTTTTCTTCGTTCCGAGATTGTGCGATTTTCAGTCGTTTCTCGCCTCCATCTAACAGTAACAATAAATCCTGCTTCTTGCTCCGTAACCGTTCGAGTTCATCGTTTTCATTCAATAAGCCAGTAGAAATTTTTTTCATATCATGCTACAGGTAAAATATATTTCCTTTGATTACGTTTTATTTAAATAAATTTTTTTATTTTTTTTTGTACAAATTTTATCTTTTTTTTTTAGATTAATGTAAATTTATTTAAATATAAAATATAATAAATAGAGACATAGAAAAAAAGAAAGATGAATAAATTTGCAATTAGAAATCGGCGCTATAAGTGCTGGGTTAAACAATTAACAGACCTTACAATCTAAAAATATAAATTTCAATGTAACGCTTGCATTACTTAACATACGTTTCAGCTAAATTCTTCAATGTGGAAAACAGATGAATTGTATTTCACTGCATGATCTGCACACGCTTCCATTTAATCTCCAATATAAACGAATATTTTCTTATCGCCTGTTGGTACGGATGGTCTCATGAGATTATGATCTCAGGAATATGCAGAACGCGTAAACAAAAATAGCAGAGAATGCAGTTCGAGTAAAATTGATCAAATAATGTGTATGCAAGTTAAAAAACGTGAATATCAGAGTAAGTCAGTGACAGACAAAATTAACAACGAAGATCGATCTTGTTGGTTGCGAGTCACATATTAAAATAAATTTAACGTGTGACTCGCAATTATCAATTTTATCTCATCTTAATCTCATGAGACCATCCAACGTATCAATTGGCTGTGGGAAAATTCATTTGTATTAAAGATTAACCAATTGAAGCTACATATGCGGATAATGCAGTAATTCAGATAGCAAAGCATGTCTCAGCAAATCGCATAAATCTGTGATTGCTTATGATATTGGCAACTTGCCAATATAGATTTGTCTTCAATAATTTCGAATATATCGACATTGTAGACAACAATGTGTATATGTATTGCTAGCAGTTTAATAGCAAGATATAATAGCTGTATCAATGTTATCTTGTGTTGTCGACAGCATTGCATGATGTATATTATTATGGTAACATGATGGCAGTAGTACAGATCTTAATGATGACGATTTTAAAATTGTCGGCAAACTGCTGGCAAGTTGCTACTGAAAGTTATCATATCATGAAGACACCAAGCTGCCAACAAATGAGGGCTCAGTTGCTTCAATTCTGGTAGTAACATATCCTTAACAATTCATACTTAGTAAACAACACTCACAGCGTCAATTCCTAATTGCCCAAATTTATTCATTTATTTAATTATTATTGATCTAAGGAATATAATACTTGAATTCTATTTTTTATAAAATATAAGTCTTACTTCCAAACTGACAATTTGATTTTGCAATAATTTATATGTAGCTGTTTTTTCTTTCAATACAGCTTGCAGCTCCTCAATTCTCGTCTGTTTCTTTTCGATTTCACTCTTATCACGCTCATGCCCTTTAATCTGTTCGAGCTTCATTTCACACTTCTGCAAACTGAAGCTCACTTGATAAAGAGCTTCTTTTTTCTCCCCTATAAGTTTGTTTTCTTTTACGAGCAAAGCATTGAGCAAATCAACTTTTTTGTACTCGCTCTGCATTTCTATCTGTAAAATCTTTCTTTCGTTTTCTAATTCCATAATTCTTTTCGTTGTACGTAAAATCATAGCTTGCAATTGGCTTGATTCCTTGATAATCACGTATTTTCGTTTCTCGTCATGCTGGAACCATTGACATGAGCTATTATTCTTTTCAAAATAATTTTTATTATATTGAAATGTGAATTTACTT